GAGCTCTTCTCCTTCCCTGGGCATCTCTGTTTTTTCTGCTCTTCTTGCTCTCTGCCTTGGTGCTTTCCTGACTGACTGCAGTGCTGGGGACACCTCATTTTGGGTGGCAGAGCCCGTTTCCATGAGGAAATGCCTTTGCAGGGCGCTCCCATGGGCCAGTCACGACCAAAATCTGGTGCCAGCCGGGCGGTGTCAGTGCCGGAAGGGGATTTGCATCTTCAATTCTTCTTGGTGCTCTTTTACAGCTCCAGAGCAGCTGCCAGAGCAGATCAGGTTGCCTCACACCTATTCCAGGCTCCCACCTCGGAGCTGCTGAAAGCAGATACTGCAGGAGGCTGAGCAGAGCTCCCAGCTGGAGAGCTGTGCCTTCCTGTGGGAAGGGGAGCGGTGACCCCGGCAGCTGGTGCTGCTGGGCTGGGGGCGGGCTCTCCTCTGCCTGACCTGCCTTGGCTCATTTGCTTAATTTGCACAACTTGCTCGTGTGTCCCCACCACCCTGAGGGGTCCTTCTCATCTTTTGCCTGTTTCTCCCCCATTCTTTCACCCTCCTGTGCTGCTCCTGGATGATTTTGGGGCCAGGCCAGGACACAGTGCAGCCCTCTAACCCTTTGTTAGCAGTCCATCCATTAATGAAGGCCCAGAGGAGTGTGCTGGCAGGTCTCTGTTGCCCAGGCCAGTGCTGTGCCACCCTGGCTGTGCCCTGACAGCACTCAGGAATCACTTTATGCTTTCCCTCTTTGATTTCTTCTTCCCCATGTGAAGCATGGTGGTTCCAGAAGGGAAATCATCTCCTCTGCCTGATGCTCCCACCCATTGCTGCCCATCCTTGAGCAGGGGGGAGAAGGGCGGTTACTGCCAATGCCTGCACTCTGGGGCTGGGTGGGAAAAGAGGAGGAGGAGGGAGCAGATAGGGTGGAGAAGAGGGAGACACAAAGCAAAAGGGCCCACAAATGCACACTGGACACAGGGGAAATGACGAGAGAAGGAAATGGGCACAAACCTGTTTGGCAAACTAAAGCTGCTCCCTTTGTTTTGCTGCTTTGCAGATAGCTACAGAAACAGTGCAGAGCCTAGGGTCTGGGTAAGAAACTCCTCTACCAGCAGGAAAGGTTGTTAAATATTTATTTGTAAACCTGAAGTCTTTGTCTCTAAAATGTAGTGAAGTTCAATAAAATTTGATTTAGCTGGAGCAGCTTAGAGGAGACAGGAGCATGGACTCGGGGAGCTGTGTCTCATTGGCTTTGTATGAAGCCATCATGGCAGAGATGGGGTGAGCCCATGGCTGAACTCACCCCCCCACTGCAGCCCAGTGAGGATGCCCAGCACTGTCCAGCTCACTCCTGTGCACAGCTGGGAGCAGCAGGTTGGCCCCTGCAGGGACAGGGTGGGGACACTGTGCCCCCAGAGCACCGTGGGCTCCCCCCCCCGCTCGCTTTGTCCTAAATTGCCTGTTGTGGCTCGATGCTCTCAGATGCATCTGGTTCAAGGGTGAACATCTCCAGCCCTGTAATTTATGGCTGCCAGGTGGGCTTAGAGCTGACTCGGGGATTTTGCCTCCTGCTCGCTCCCTGTCAGCACAGCAGATTGCTCCCTGCTCACAGGGGTGGGGAGCAGGGGACAGCCCAGGGACAGCGGTGACAGTGGTGAGCATGGCCAGGTGGCTGCCCCACCACTTGGGGCATCCTCAGGAGCACACTCAGGGGCAGAGCCCGGGCTCCCTTTTGGGTCATCACCCAAGTTTGGCTTTCTGGGGCTGTTCCTCCCTCCCCAGGGCAGCCTGTGCCTGTCACACTGGAGCAAACCCCACGCACGTCTGCGCTTCCGTCTGGCCCCAGGCTGCATTTCCAGGCACAGGCCCAGAATGGCATCTTCCCTCCCAGCAGTGAGCCCAGGCACAGACACTGGGCAGGCCCTGCTGTGTTTAGCACCAAGGCAGAGCTCTGGTGCCTCCATCTGTGCCTCCTGGGCCGAGGCCGGGACCTTCCCGCGGGAGGGGACTGTACTGAGAGCCCTCAGCCCTGGGCAGCAGGTGCTGAGGACAGGGGTCAGTGGCTGCCATGGCCTTGAGCGTGAGTTTTGCTTTGGCTTGCTCTGGGTTTGCTGTCACCTAAAGGCAGTGAGCCTGGCAGCTGCTGCTTTTTTTGTCCATTCTTTTTTTGTGGTTGAGGAAGGAGAACCACGCTCATGCCAAGGGCTGGACTGTGCATCACAGCCATGGTCCCATCTCTGCTCCTGCCTGGCAGCTCCTGCTGGGCCATGGCTGGCACCCTGGAGGGCAGCTTGGGCTTGTTTCAGGGTCTTCTTCAGAGTAAATCTGGGAGGGCTTTGTGGAAAGCCCTTCCTGCAGGTAGCAGTTGTGCAGGGGCTGTAAAGCCATGCATGCATTGTTGGCCCACAGCTCACACAAAAATCACAGTTTGTGTCGTTTTTAGAAGGGCATCTCTTAATATCCACATCACCTTGAGGCACAACTATTTCTCTCCGAATCAGGCAGAGGTAAATGGGAGCCAGAAGTGATTTAAAGCTCATCTTAGCTCAGAATTTTCCAGCTTATTTATTGTCTTTCTCCCAAAGCTCTTCTGTGACTCTGGCTATTAAGATTACGGATGTTTTTGTCAGGGATTGTATTTATCACGGATTTAAATTTAGCTGAGAACTAATAACATGTGAGGTGTGTCTAGACTTTAATTCTGGGCTGTGCTTGTCGGTAACACCACACAGATTCTGTTTCATTCATCTCTGGCCTCTTTGCTGATTTTTTACTCACTGATACTGCACAGCTCTGGCTGTGCCGAGGCTGTGCTGGGGGTGACAGCACAGCACAAGGTGCTTTGGAAGTGCAATCCCCTTCCTGCTGCTGGAGAGGCAGGATTGAGCCTGGGGGAAGTTGGTCTGCAGGATTCAGCTCTGTCCCCTCCCCATGGCCAGCAGGGACCAGAACAGAGCAGCACATGCAGGCAGAGCGGAGCTTTTGGCCCGGCACACAAACAAGGCTGGTGCCTGGCACTCTTAATGAGCTGAGTGTTTTCAGTCCTGCTATAATTAAGCCCCTCAGACTGTATTTTGTTTTGCATGCCGTGTTTTGCTGTCTTTGATGGCTTTCTCAGCACGGCTTTGAGGAGCAGGAATTGGTTTCTGAGAAAAAAGGCTGCAGGCGAGCCAGCGCTCAGGAACGAGCATGTGGTGGGAGGGCAGTGCCCAAGAGGCTCCTGGCCATGGGCACCACTGGCAGCCCAGCCCCAGCCAGGCTGCAGCAGGAGCCTGGGGAGCAAATCCATGTGCAACCTGGGCCATGCCAACCAGGGGGCCAGCCTGGCTCCAGGGCACCAGCCCCAGTCCCAGCCCCACCCCAGCAGCATGGCAGTGGTAGCAGCAACCCCCTTGTATCTGTACTGCTGCCCAGCACCAGGGAGGTGATGACATGGGAGATGATGGATTGTAAATACCCAGCAAATGGCTGTTTGCAGCCTGGCTGGGGCCCAGGCACTCCCACTGGAAATGTTTCCACTGGACTGGGACATGCTGGCCCAGGGCCAGCACGAGGGAGCTCAGCATCGCGGCCAGGGGAGCTCGGCAGGACCAGCTCCCATCCCTGCACCCCTGCACTGTGGGGTGATGTGTTCAGTGTGATCCCCGCTGAGCAGAGGGAGCAGGGAAAGGGTGAGGTGGTGGAGGGATGGGAGGGGACAGTGGAATGGGAGGAAACCACAGAGGGTTCCTCTGGGGACACTCCAGGCCCTCACAGCCCATCACCGGCTGTACTGAGGCTGGTGGTTTCCAAGATGGTGCTGGTGGGACATTTTTATGGCCAATCCATCATCTCCCATCCTTGTATCTTACAAAGAAATTTTGAATAATTTTTTTGGGAACAAAAGTGATCCTTGGGTCATATATCTGTATGAAATGATGAATATGAGCAGATGCAATGGCAGGAACGTGCAGAACGTGTACCAGCCCCATAAATAGTGCTAGAGCAGGGAAAGTAATGGACAGGATATACAGTGATGGATACAAACAGAGCCAATGGAAGTAATGGATTGGGTGTGTTTGGTGATAGCCATAAATAGCATTAGTGGGAGTAGTGCAGAGAGTAACATAACAATAGATATAAACAAGGACTGGAGTAGCTGGAGAACTAATATGCAATATTGATATGATTTGATTCCTCATAACAGCCTGAACAAGGGAATAAATGCAACAAGGAGCATCTGCTTCTGCCCGGCCAGGATGGCTCTGGGCTGGGGCACAAGCAGACCATGAGCCCCCAGGGAGGTCTCCCAGCCCTCCCCAGGGACATCAGCAGGAGGCTGGCTCTTTCCCTGCTGACACCAGGCAGCTCCCTCATTATCCAGAGCCCCCCTGGACCTGACTTGAGGCTACAGCTTGCTCTTGTAGGCAGTGTCTGGCCAATTGCTGTTTCTGGGTGGGGGGAAATGGTTTGGGTCTGCCCTTGCAGGCTGGCATGGTGGGAGGCAAGGAACTGGCCCTGGGGACACACTGAGAGCAGCTGGGGAATGGGGGAGCACAGAAGGAGGGAGCTGGCTCCCACTGAGCTGTCAATGCTGCTTGCCCCAAGTGGGGCTCCCCAGATGCTCCATCCTCTGCTCAGCTCCTCTGTTTGCAAAGCAGCCTTTATATTCAGGCTCCATCTACAGGGAACAGAATAATTTCAAGAGCTTAAAATAGGATGTAGATAGATGTGTTTCGTATTAAATTATTTTTTTAAGAAGCAGAGGAAGCTGTATGACACAGATTCCTCAAGGCCTTCCACTCAAGAGTCTGTGCACGTTCAACCATTGAGTGGAAAGTCAGGGAGTGGGGAGGAGAGAGGGTCTTGAAACCAAAGGGCTGCATTTCAGCTGGAAAATGAGACCCTCTGCTGTGCCTGGGTGGTTCCTTTTGCCTTCCCATCACCTCTGCCAGGACACCAGAGCTTTTGCCTTGGCTGTGCCCATTGTTTGCTCACGTGCCACTTGCTCTTTCTCCCGCTGTTGCCTGCAGGTGAGAGATAGGATGGTAGCCGGGGAGGCGAGTATGCGCAGCCCAATCCTGGCCTGCTGGCAGCCGATCCTCCTGCTGATGCTGGGATCCATCCTGTCCGGCTCCGCCACGGGCTGCCCGCCGCGCTGCGAGTGCTCCGCCCAGGAGCGCGCCGTCCTGTGCCACCGCAAGCGATTCATGGTCGTGCCAGAGGGGATCCCCACCGAGACCAGGCTGCTGGACTTGGGCAAGAACCGCATCAAGACGCTCAACCAGGATGAATTTGCCAACTACCCTCACCTGGAGGAGCTGGAGCTAAACGAGAACATTATCAGTGCCATTGAACCTGGGGCTTTCAACAACCTCTTCAACCTCAGGACGCTGGGGCTCAGGAGTAACAGACTCAAGCTGATCCCTTTGGGGGTGTTTACTGGACTCAGCAACCTTACCAAGCTAGACATTAGTGAGAATAAAATTGTGATCCTCCTAGATTACATGTTCCAGGACTTGTACAACCTGAAGTCTTTGGAGGTGGGTGACAACGACCTCGTCTACATCTCCCACCGGGCCTTCAGTGGCCTCAACAGCCTGGAGCAGCTGACTCTGGAGAAATGCAACCTGACCTCCATCCCCACGGAGGCCCTGTCTCACCTTCACGGCTTGATTGTGCTGCGGCTGCGCCACCTGAACATCAACACCATCCGGGATTACTCATTCAAGAGGCTGTACCGGCTTAAGGTCCTCGAGATCTCACACTGGCCCTACCTGGATACCATGACATCCAACTGCCTCTATGGGTTGAACCTGACCTCCTTGTCCATCACCCACTGCAACCTGACGTCCATCCCATACGTATCGGTGAGGCACTTGGTTTACCTCCGGTTCCTGAACCTGTCCTACAACCCCATTGTCACCATCGAGGGCTCAATGCTCCATGACCTGCTCAGGCTCCAGGAGATCCAGCTGGTGGGAGGGCAGCTCACCACGGTCGAGCCCTTCGCCTTCCGCGGCCTCAATTACCTGCGCATCCTGAACGTGTCAGGGAACCTGCTGACCACCCTGGAGGAGTCAGCTTTCCACTCGGTGGGCAACCTGGAGACGCTCATCCTCGACAACAACCCCTTAGCCTGCGACTGCCGGCTGCTCTGGGTTTTCCGGCGGCGATGGAGGTTGAACTTCAACAAGCAGCAGCCCACCTGCTCCACCCCCGAGTTCGTCCAGGGCAAGGAGTTCAAGGACTTCCCTGACGTCCTCCTGCCCAACTACTTCACCTGCCGCCGAGCACGAATACGGGACCGCAAACCTCAGCAGATCTTCGTGGACGAAGGCCACACGGTGCATTTTGTCTGCCGGGCAGATGGGGACCCGCCGCCCACCATCATGTGGCTGTCTCCCCGGAAGCACCTCATCTCTACCAAAACCAACGGGCGGCTCACTGTCTTCCCTGACGGCACGCTGGAGGTGCGCTACGCCCAGATCCAGGACAATGGCACCTACCTATGCATCGCCAGCAACGCGGGTGGCAACGACACCATGCTGGCCCACCTGCACGTGCGCAGCTACTCCCCAGACTGGCCCCACCAGCCCAACAAGACCTTCGCGTTCATCTCCAACCAGCCCAACGAGAGCGATGCCAACAGCACGCGCGCCACCGTGCCTTTCCCCTTTGACATCAAGACTCTCATCATCGCCACCACCATGGGCTTCATCTCCTTCCTGGGCGTCGTGCTCTTCTGTCTGGTGCTCCTCTTCCTCTGGAGCCGCGGGAAAGGCAACACCAAGCACAACATTGAAATCGAGTACGTGCCACGGAAGTCCGACGCGGGCATCAGCTCTGCCGACGCGCCGCGCAAGTTTAATATGAAAATGATTTAACCAGGCGACAATTTGCAAATAATAATGGTGTTGTTTTGTTTTGTTTTTTTAAAAAAAAAGAACAAATGAACAAATAAAAAATAATTAACAAACATTGCTACAAACATACCGACCTCTCTCCTTCCACCGTGCCCTCTGCCCCTGTCCAAACCCACTGCGCCCGCACTGTCACCACCTCCTCCTCCTCTTCTTTATACCAGGAAAACATTCAGCCGATGTCTTCAGGACTCCTGTGTTTGTAAGGACTTTGTCTGATGGACTCTGGTGTCAGATATAACTCTGAGAGGGGAAAAACAACGGGGGGGGTGGGAAAAAGAAAGAAAAAAGAAATAAAATCAATAAAAAAGTTACGAACTTTCTTCTGTAACTTTGATTTCAATAATTATGGATTTTTATGAAAACTTGAAATAATAAAAAAACCCTATTTCCTATAGATAGTTGGAATGAAAAATTTTGACTTCTTGATCTGTCCAGTTCTGTACCTGGCAAGTGCTTGCTTTCTTGCCTCAGAGGCACTCCCCAGATGCCTTGCCAAGAGCAGCCCCAGGCCAGGGCGAGTCTCCTGCTGACATCAAAGGCACCTCCCGCAGTGCAGTGCCTGCTGTGGCACCAAAGCAGGTCTGACAATTTTTCCTGGTTTTTATAGTCAGTTCCCCTGGCCATCCCCAAAGCCTGTGGAGCAGGGCTGTGACACTGGTGTCCATAAGCAGTATGGAGCAGGGCTGTGCTTTCCTGCCCTCTGTGTGGAAGGAGGATGCAGATCCCCATTGCAGGGCTGGCCCTGCCTGTGGCCTCCAGGAGAGGAGCCAGGGGCACCAGGCTTTGCCTGAGAAGGGCTGGGGATCCTCCAGCTTCTTCCATGGGGAGAGGATCTTCTGCCAGCCTTTGCAGCAGTACCAGGGTGTCTCCTCTCCTATAGGGGACAGGCTGGCTCCTGTGCTCTGCACAGCTGTCCCCATGGGCAGGGATGTGACACATCCATTGGCAGCACCCACTTGGGTGCCTCCAGCAACTGGTGCCTGGAGCAGCTCCAGCACTGCTCTCCACCTGCCTGGAATTCAGGACCTGATCACTGGCAGCCAGAGTTTCAAGCACTCTCAGGCACATCCAAGGGAATTCAGCTTCCAGGCTCACAGGAGACCTTGTCTGAAAATGGAATTCCACAGGTCTGTAGCCACAGGCATAGGCTGAGGCAGAGAACAGGCACAGGCTGTGACACACTGCCCCTGCCAGGCAGCAGTGAGCCCATCACCATGGGCTCTGGTCACAGCAGCATCCTGCCTTTGCTGTGCTCTGGGACTTGCATCAGGTCTGGAAGGGCTGTGTTGCCTCACAGAACCATGGCATGGGTTGGGTTGGGTTGAAAGAGACCTTAAGGACCATCTCATCTCCACAAGAACAAAACACAGAACATCCCTGCCAATGGTGTCAATATGGGCACTGAAGGTTTTACCCTCCTTACTGAATCAGCAGGTGCTTCCCAACGTTCCCAGCTGCCACCAAGAGGGTGGCACCACACTGACCCCCTGGCCCACCCAGCCTCAGTGACACCTCTTAGGCAGAGCCCAGATTTTCATTCTTGATTTGTAAGGCACTAAGGAGTCTCCAGGGATCAAAGTCACTACAAGATGGTAAATGTAAGTGCCAGGAACCTGGGGCCCCAAGAGGGGAAAGAAAGGATTTGCTTTTCTTTCAGCACTGTGCCATCCTTGAGGAACCAACCTGGAGCATGTGTGCTGCGGGGAGGGGGAGTTTTTGCTGATATCAGCTTTCTGTTCATCTTCAAACAAAACATTTTGTGTTTCTTTCTCCACAGCAAGTTTCAGAAGCTTTGATTTGTTCTTTCCTCATCTCTAACACATCCTTCCTTTGTAACTTTGAAACCAATACATTTTTTAAAAGCCTTTGGCTTTGTTTTGCTTTTTAAAAGAGCCAAAGCAAAATGCTCTTTATGAGCTTCCCCTCCCAATATTTCCAGCAAGCTAAACACAAAACTGCCAACAGCAACACACAAACCTAGGGCTGAAGCTGAAGGCAGGCTCCAGAGACTGCAGATCCTGCTCCAGGGGCTCACAGCAGCACTCCCCTGGGACAGGCAGGGATGCACAAGGACTTCAGCCCTTGGAGGATGATGCCAAGCCAAGTGGAGCCAAGCAAAAAAGAACTTCAGGCACAGAAAGCTCAGTCTGAGCCTGGTTGTCAGGACTGACACAAACTCAACCAGTGGCTCAGCAGAGAGGTAGAAGGGGGGGTCTTCATGACCCTGGACAGCTACAGGCACTGGCCATCCAAAAAAGCTGCTTAATTGGCTCCAGTGATCACTTTCAATGCTGTAATGAAAAGAGTTAATTCCACACACATAGATTTTTAAAAATACTAATAACCAAGTCCAATGAGGAATTTGCAATACATTACAGAGCCCCAGCAATCAAAGGGGGGAACCAAGTCTTTCACTGTCAAGGTTAAAAAAAAGAAAAGAGAGCAAATGATTTCTTTTCCATAGAACATCTGAGGAATTTTCCCAGCCCCACACCTGTCCCCAGCCCCACCACCTCTGCTGCACCCTCCTGGGGGAGGCCACACTGCTGCCTTAAATCCCAAGCTGCAGCTCAAATCCCTCATTAGTGAGTTTGCCTGATGCTCTGTGGCACTGCCACACACTTTGTTACCCACACTGATTTTTTAATCTTCGACGCTTTCTGAGCTAGATAATTTTTTTTCCAGTCACCATGTGATTGAAGCAGATGGATGGAGCAGAAGAAAAGCATCTCAGAGTGGCCAGCAACTAAGCTCAGCCATTTTTATAGCTGGTAAAAACGAGGAAAAAAACCAAACCCAAAGAATAGACTCTCTTTCTCTCCTTTGCTGAAATTTACAGTCTGTTTCCATTGCAGTTTAATCAGGGCTGAGAAAGCAGAGGCTGGATTCCAGCACTGCTCTTCAGGGAACCGTGGCCCGTGTGTCAGAGCCAGACAGCAGTTTCCACTTGCTTCTTCTGAATCACAATAAATACAATGCACTTTCTAAAACAGTTTAAAAGAGGTAGCAAAAAAACCCCAGGGAGTTGTGCTTAGGGCATGGAGGGCAAATGTGCCTTGCCTCCTCTGCTTGCTAGACTGGGAGTGCCATGGGGATCTTGGTGACAGGCAGGGTGTGTGGGGGCACAGCAGGGAGGAGGATGAGTGGTTACCCAGCCCTTCCAGCCTGGGAACATCACCCATCCCAGCCCTTCCCTCCCCACCAGCTCCATGTGCTCCCCCACTGCAGGGCCCATGGCAGGCAGGTGGCAGCTCTCCCCTCTGCCTCCAAGCAGGGTTCTGAGCACCCTGCAGGACACACTGACACCCACCCACTCCCCACACTGACCCTCCCCAGCAACCCCTGTGCCTGCTCAGCTCCTCTCCACAGATCACCAGAGGTACACAGAGCATCTACAGGGGTGACCAGAGAGGAGGGGTCAGGCTGGCCCTTCACCTTCCTGTGCTCACAGCCCCCCAGCTCTCCCCACAGCCCCCCAGTTCTGCCCACAGCCCTCCAGCCCTACCCACAGCCCCCCAGCCCTCCCCACAGCCCCCCAGCTCTCTCCCCACAGCCCCCTGGCTCTCTGCCTGGGCTTGCTGCCTTCCCCTACTTCTATCAGGCCTTATCACACTTAATTTTACTCCTTCTCTCACTAACTGCCCTCTCTCTCTTATCTCAGCTTCAGAGCCAATATTTTACTCTCTCCCTTTTTCTTCCTTATCGCTCTTTTTTTTTTTTTCTTTAAATACTTTCTGCCTTCTGTGCTGCTCCCTCGCTCTCCTGCCATTTCTCTCTGTCAAGAGCTCTCCTGTCTGCACCACGGCTGTGCTTCCTGCAGTCCCCTCTGCTCACAGCTTTCTGCCCCACATTTCTGCCTCCCTCCTCCCCTGGCAGGGTCTCATCCTGCATCCACCACAGCGAGCAGCACACAGAGAGGTGGAGGGAAAAAAGATCTTTGGGCTTTGATTCCCTTTTCTCTTTTTTCCCCCATCTCCTGCCTTGTCTCTCTTTTTTCCACCTCCACATGGGCTCTCCAGCCCTGCCCAGCCAGTTTGCCATGAGGCAGGGCAGGGACATTGCAGTGCAATCCCTGCTTCCAGGCTTTAGCAGGACACAGCAGAGGAGAAGGGATTTGAGGTGCAGCCCCAGAGGAGATGTTTGTGGGAGCAGCCCTGTTTCCCCTCCCCCTGGCCCTGCCAAGGTACACATAACTCCTCTAAGAAAAAGCCTATTGCTTTCCCTTCTTTTTCCAGATCTGTATCTGCATGCTTATGATAGATTTACTGTGATTCTATCAGTTTATGATTAAAACCCATAAATTTTACTAGGCCTTTTTCTTATTTTCCATAATCCTCACGATTCAAGGCAATCAAATTTTAACTGGAAAGCATGGGCTGTGCTTTTAGTCCCAGTGTAATGGGGAATGGTTCATTCCACAATCCACCCCCCTTATTGGTGGTACTGAAGAAATACTGTCCTGTGAAAGAGATTTTCCCTCAGTTCCCTTTAAAACAATGTCCTTACCTGAGAAAAGGATTAGAGGAACAACACAAACTGTGACTAAACCACAGTTTGCCCTGCCACTGTGGTTTGTTCCTATGCTGGGGTTTCCAGGCAGAGTTTCCCTGCAGATTTGGGTGGGGGCTGAGGGTCTCATGGTGACCAGCCTGCAGTGAGCAGGGTGCCCGGTCCCTGTCAGCTGCTCCATGTCAGCTTCTACCACCAGGCAGTGGGTAGCTCCAGCCCCTCTGGAGATTTCACCATGTGCCTGTTACGATCCAGGTAATAAGACATTTCATTCAAATGAGCAAATTTATTCCAGTGGCACTTTAATAACAAAATCAATTAAACTACACTTCCCAGCAGGGCTTTATCATATGCTATAGCTACAGCATATTGCCTGGATATACTAAATTCTCTCCCTGAAATAAAGTGCAAAGTTTAGAAGACAGATGACACCATTAGAAGCACTAGTAGAATAATACCCTAATAAATCTGTGGCCACCTGGGCACTTCAGAGTTGTCACACACCACTCTCAGTGGCCATTGGGAACTTCCCAATGACAGTGAGAGCTGGAATGAGACCTTTGTGCTCCTGGGGTTCAGCGTGCAGATGTAGGGCTCTGGAGCACAGCTCTGTGTCAAAGCAACAAGGCACCCATGCACACAGAGCAGCCAGAGGGGAACACCTACATGGGAGCATTGGGGACCTGGGTATCAGTGCAGGCTGCCTTATCTGTGGTGGCTCTCTATGAAAGAAGCAGCTCTGACCAGGCAGAACAGCGAGCATCCAGCTTGGAGACCAGGCTGGCCTCTCCCAGCAAAGCTCTTCAGTGCCACCACCAAGCCAGCAAAACGATGGGATAGTCAGGAAAGGCTGCGGGTCCTGCAGGCAGCACCCTGGGAAAGGCATTTG